CCCCAAAACCCCAAAACCCCAAAACCCCATAAATGCGACGACTTATTGGAGATAATCATATTTTAAACATGGAAGAAATAAAGTCTGGTGATAGTGTGCATAAAGCAGACAATTTTAGCTCTAAAGAGAATGAAATAGGTTGTGTATTTGGGGAGAACAGATTTAAACTTAAGACCAAACCTTGTGATAAGACTGAGCAATCAAGCATTTTGGAGCCTCAGAATGTTGCTCAAAATTACAACTTTAAGTCTTTCAGCTTCGCACTTGGAGAAGCATTCGAAAACAACTTCAGCAGAGTAAATTTGTTAGATCGTAGAGTTGAAGATTATTCAAAATTCCTGAATATGTCAAAAATTTCTAATCAAGAAGCATTCGTGAGCGAGCTTATAAAGATTAAAAAAGACTTAAAATTTATTGAACGTCAGCTTCAAGGGAGAACTTGCCAAATCATGATAAATAAGCTAAACTTATTTCTTAGCAGCTTCATAAATTTAAAGACCAAAGTTGAGAATTTGCTTGGCGGCTGCCAAAATACCTTAAAGAACTATTCACCCAAGCAATTGAAAGAATGGGAGTTCAAGAACAAGAAATTATTGATGGAGGCTGCTAAGTGTTCGTTGCCATATTCAGTGCAATTCCAAAGACAACATGAGAAAAGTATTAAGAAGGAAGAGAAAGACTTTAGATTAGAAATCAATAAAATATTTCAATACAAATTAACAGGAGAAAGCGATCCATGATATTTAGAAGCAGATGAATACAAGATAAGCACAACTTTGTTTCTTCAAAAATTTAACCAAGCTTATAACTATCATTACCATTTATTATTCAATACACTACTCGGTCAAGCTAACAAGCGCCCCAAACTTACCAACCACATAATGGCCGAATACTGTGCTCACTGAAACTTCTCCATAGATCTCAACAAAATGTCTAAGCATATATTAGATGTGTCACCATCATTTCTTTCTATCATTAAGATTAACCAGATCAATAAATTTCCAGTATCTCTGCATGAGTTCAGAATTAGTGGAAAACAGTTTTGAAAGATTTTAGCTTCTGGTAGACATCACAAAGAGCTATCTTTCACATGCTGTGAACTTATGATATCCAAAGACACTAATCTATCCAATGGTATGAGCAGATCTAGTCTTGAGAAGTTAGTCTTTACATATTGCAAAATCCCTGGCTGCAGTCCAAAAGCTTTGGTAAAACTATACAAAGCTTTGATTCCTATTCTGGCAACATCAGAGGACCTTAAGCAGAGTTTAAAAATCTTAAACATCTCCAATTTTTCTAATCTCAACGCAGACGTAAAATCTATCCAAGTGAGAGTTTCAAGTGTGGCTGCTAAATGTGACTTTCATAATCTCATAATTGATCCCAGATAAATTATTCAATTTAAGAAACTTGTTTCAGTCAGTCTATTAGCACTCGGGGTTTTGGGGTTTTGGGGTTTTGGGGTTTTGGGG